TAGCCAGGCTTATGTCAAAAGGAGATATATCTATATGACTATAAAATATCCTCTTGCGTACTGAATAAAGACTTTTCAGTGTGACTGCTTCTGGACGCGCACTCCCCTCAGTCACGCTGTACCAATTGTCTCTAAGTAATCCCAGCAGAATCATTTGTTCTCCAGGGTGAAGTTTGAACTGAACTTTGGTTTGTCATTGTCATCTTATGATCAGGGGATAGGCATTCCTTAGTCCTCCCTCCCGTGGGGAGAAAAATCTCACAATAGATAGTAAATTCATTTGTTAATGCTATTATGTTTCCATGGTATTAAAAAGTAAGCAAAACTGCCATATGGATGGAAATTGTTTTTAGTAAAGATATGCAAAAATTAGATTTATGCAAAATTATGGTAAATGGATTGATGTTTCCAGAAAGATTAAAGTGAATATTTCACAATGGAAAAAATTAAAACTAGAGAGCTTTTGCAAATTGTGAAATTTTGAGTGACATACTCAAATGCTGTGACCCTTCAGTTGTTCTGATCAAAAGAACAATCCTTTTTTAGAATATAGGCTGAGGAAGAGAGTGAAGGGGAGAGAGAGGTGAGAAAACATTTGGCAGTTAACACTTTACAGGTAAATGTCTTGGAAAGTAGAATAAGATGTAAAAATATGACCATTGATTCAGAGGAATTTGAAGATCTATACTATATTGTATGTATTCCTTAGAACATGGACTTATAAATATTTAAATATCTATATGTATAAATGTATGTATATAATTATGTACATAATTAAATTTGTACATATTTTATACATTTGTTTGAATTCACTACAACAATGTAGAAGGTGTAGAGACTACAATTGAGTATATCCATTACTGAGAAACCTACCCCCTAAAATATATTTTTCTTTATCTTAATGAATAAATTTAAACCAATGTCAACAATGGACTCTTGATTAATTGTCTTGCTTGTCATTTCCCCAAGCTGCAAAACCATGAGGAATTCCATGAAGACAAAACTTCTGGGATCAAAGACTGCTATAAAGATCTGGAAGCCGCTGATCTTAATGCTGGAATGAGCTGTCTGCTGAAAATTTGGTAAGCTGTATTCTACGTGGGTCAGTGGCAAATATGTATGGTTTTATTCCCATAAGGACTCTTGCAGTATTTGCAGTCTGTTATAGCCAGGGATCCATGAAACCTTATTTTTTTCCATCCATTCATTATTACACAGCCATTTATGAAATTTTTGCAAGCAGAGTATAAGGCTTAACTTCTCTTCTGTGTGTGTTAAGAAAGATTATTGTACATTAAGGGAAGAAAGGGACCCTGTGCTGTGGAAATCATTCCCAACTAAAGGACTGTCTTCTGAGAAGTACTTTCCAAGGCTGTGACCTGCTGTGAATGCATCCCAGGCCTTGGTGTGTGACAGAATGAGGTGTTTTTTTTTTATGCTCCTGCTAAAACAGTGAGAGGTTTCAATTATTTCAGTTTATATTTCTTCAGAATGTCAGAAGATAAGGTACTTTTGAGAAGAATGTCAGACAGCAGCTTGCCTAGCTGTGAAGTTGCTATGCTTTCTACCTATGGTTGTCGAGAAGAACATTTGTAGGAAGAGAAACTGTAACCTTTTACCTGAAATTCCTGCTAAGCCTCATTGGTCTCAGTTATTGGATGACAAACTCTGTGAACACTAGTGTGGGTTTTGTGTATGTGTGTGTGTGGTGTGCACATGCTTGAGTTGTGGAGCCTCAACTCTACATGTATGTTCTGTTTTGGAGATCCAAATTACTCAGGAAACAAGGAATTTGGGCCTTAAATATCCACAATTATTTAGAAACAAGAAAGCTTTAAATAAAAGGCCCGAGAAAGGATGAATTATAGACATGATTATAGGCAATTTGCATGCAAAAAGGTTTGGAGAACACAGGTAAATAGTGAAATAAAAGGGCCAATTTTATAGTTTTAAAAACATTTGCATAATTATAAATCACTCCATATCCTATGCCATAAATACCCAATGTAAAATTAAGAATCACCATAAAATTACTATTATTAGAAATCATTAGTTCGTTTGATATTTTTTGAAACAGTTCTATTAATTCTAACTACAATCTTATCTGTAATTTTCGTGTTATTACAGATGGGAGGTACATTATGTTACATGGGAAACAATTGATTATCTAAAGAGTTAAGTTAGTTCGTAATGTTTACCAGTACACAGTCATTTTTACCCTGATCCTAAATTTCAATGGGGGGGTGTCTATGATTCATCTCAGAATTATTGCCTAAATGCCAGCAGAACACCCTTGTGTGAACCTGCGTCAGCTTATTTAACATTCACACTGTGACTTTGATGTACTCGGTCGCTGTTCTAATAACGATGCTCAATAATGGAGTGCTTTTCACAGTTTAACACAGAGACAACTAAGACTCGAGAAGTTTTAACTTTAGCAATATTTCAGGTTGTATGTAGGCTCTCTGAATTGGAAGATCTCTGGTTTATTGAATGTTTTCCATCTGTTTACCCCTAGGGTGAATAATTCATTATCAAGTTTACAACATCCTTGTCTAGCATTTGCAACTACTATACCTGCCTTAGAAGTTATGCAGTTGGTATATAGGCACTTAGCCACATGTGTAAGACCTGATAAAAGCTGGTGAGCATTGAGATGGACTTAGAGCCATCCAGTTATCAGTCTGCAATCTCAAATCTCTTTCTAGTTTGCTCTCACTCTCATTATGACCACAAGCCTTGTTAAAGGCATGGATTCCAGTAGCTCTTCATGGTGAAAGACAATTTGCTGTCCTAATGGGAAATGCTTTTATCACAAATATCTTAAATATATTTTCTGCACATTTCAGTGGCCACATTGTGAATACCAGGGCTATCTCTCTGGGTATTCTTGTTTCTGTCTGTGAAGACCACAGAATGGTCAGACATTCTTAGGTCACGAATTGTGAGATGAAAAACTAATTCCTTTTGAGCTAAATTCCATGATTATTTTTACCAGAGTATGGGTTTGGTTGATGTTTATAAAACCTAAGGTTTTCCAGATGACCTTGAGCTTGTTACATTGCTGAGGATGAACCACACAGAAGTCTTCAGCCTCCTCCTTGTAAGTGCTTCCTATGTGCCACTTTCTCTGAGATGGCATTATCCTTGATGGAGACAGATAAAAAGCTAGATGATTTTCTTTTTGTTTGATATATGAAAAAGAAGATGTCTTGTTTTAAAATCCATGTTGGTCAATGCATGCTTTTCCTGTGTCTATATTCTGAACACAAATGTGTAGACATTTGCTACCACATATGCCCAGAGTTTAAAAAATAGTAATTATTAGAACTTTTAAGAATGCTAGTAAAATAATCTACTGTCACTTGAGGCAAATTGATTTTTATGATTCTTCAAATATATCCTCTGCCAGTCAGATCTGCCATATTTCTCAGCATTTCTTTGCTTTCCTTTTGATTTCTCCCTCCTTTGTCAGGGCAATTGTTTTTCTTGTTTAGAATATTCTTCCCATGTACAACTGTGTGTTCCCTCTCCATACACGTGGAGAGGGAACATACAAAACGTGCTTCCTTCTTTGCATAAAACATGTCATCATACAAAAGTATTATCCTCATTGCCTTTTCCAGACTTCTTCTAATTTGACCTTCTGCAATCAAATATGAGAGTGATTCTGACATATTTTACTACACTTGTCTATGAAGGTTTCATTTATCTCAGTAACATATATTCATTATATGTAAAGGCCCATGTCTGATTTATGCTTTTTTCTCCTTGGTGCCTAGAATTTCTGGAATCTAGCAAATCTCTTATATGGGAAACTTTGGACAGAGATAATATTTTCTTGGAGAACTAGTTTTGTCTCTTGACTGTCTGTTTGCTGTGAACCCTAAGACCTTGAACCATGTATTCATAAATAATCAGTTTGGAAAATGGGATAAGCGTATTTACTTCATAACATGATTTGGACGGTTTCATGGAGCACATTTTAGAATAGTGTGCCTGTCATATATTCAATGTTTAATAAATGTGCTCTGTTAAATGATGTGTAAGCTAAAATTTGTTTGTAACCTGCAGGATGCGTCAGCAAAATAGTCTATTAAACATAATTTTCACATTAGTAAATTTGATTCCATTGCTGTGACTTTAAAATTAGGTCATGAGTTCAGGGAATAAAAAATGGATGCTGTGTGTGTGTGTTCTTGTGTTCATGCATGCATGTGTAGTAGAGTGTGGACACCAGGCGTATTTTGTTGAGACAGGATTTTCTACTAATATGGCAACTCACTACCTCAACAAGACTACCTTTTGAGTAAATACAAGGATCCTTTTATCCTCACCTGAGTAGCACTGGTATTACAGACATGTGACGGTGTGCAGAGAATTTTATATAGAAGCTAAAATCTGAACCTGAGTTTTCATTTTCTTATGACAGTTTATTGAGTGTGCAAACTCTCCAAGTTGAGAATAGATAATCTTGTTATGGAATTTAGAAACTGAAGTTATAAGTAAGAGCTATTTTTAAAGTAATATAGTAATAGCTGGGATGGAGTCAAAGAATATGTTTGTCTGAATCCACTTGATTATGGGAAGTTTAAGCATTTTATAAGCAGAATGTTTAGGAATCATTTTGTAGTTTTATGAAATTAAAAGGTTATTTAGTCAAAATAATTAAGCACTGGGGATCTATTTTCTACTTAATAATGAGAAAGCAGCACATAATTTGTAGTTATTAGATAATTTAATGAAAATTACTTTGCAAATGACAAGTTCTTTATATTACAAACTAATATATAATATAATAATCCATAATCATTTTACTTATGTTAAAATATTTTTTATTTCTATTATTTGAATTAAGCTACATCTTCTAAATTTATAAAAAGTTTCAGTAATTACATTTTCATGACACTTATTTCTTTAATTTCTCTTTCATTTATTCAGTGTAATAGCTTAATCTGAAACTTCCTTTTCTCTCCTCTTCAGTTACATTCCTTACAGTCATGGATCAGGATAATAGTACAATCAGTGAGTTCATCATGTTGGGATTCACAACCGACCCGGTGATGCAGAAGATACTGTTTGCAGTGTTCCTTGTTGTATATACCTTGACTTTGCTGGGAAATAGCTCCCTCATTGTGCTAATTTGCAATGATTCCCGGCTCCACACACCCATGTATTTCTTCATTGGAAACTTATCATTCCTGGATCTTGGGTTGTCTTCTGTTTACACCCCAAAGATCCTAGCAACATGCATCTCTGAAGACAAAAGCATCTCCTTTGCTGGCTGTGTGGCTCAATTCTTCTTCTCTGCTGCACTGGACTACACTGAGTGCTATCTTTTGGCTGCCATGGCTTATGACCGCTATGTGGCCATCTCAAAGCCTCTGCTTTACTCACAAGCCATGCCCTTGAAGCTATGTGTATTTTTTGTGGCTGCCTCATATATGGGTGGTTTCATTAACTCTGTCATCATCACCAAAGACACTTTTGCCTTGAATTTCTGCAGTGACAATGTAATTGATGACTTTTTCTGTGATATCCCACCCTTGGTGAAGTTGGCCTGTGGCAAGAAAGAGAGTTTTCAGTCTGTGTTGTTCTTCCTCTTGACTTCCAATGTCATCATCCCCATTGTGTTTATCCTGGCCACCTATCTCTTCATCATTGCCACTATCCTGAGGATTCGCTCCACTCAGGGTCGCCTTAAGGCCTTCTCTACCTGTTCCTCCCACCTCATCTCTGTGACCTTGTACTATGGCTCCATTCTCTACATTTATGCTCGTCCCCGATCAAGCTACTCTTTGGATAGGGACAAAATTGTTTCAACCTTTTACACAGTTGTTTTCCCCATGCTGAATCCTTTGATCTACAGCCTGAGGAATAAAGATGTGAAAGAGGCTCTGAAGAAACTCCTCAAGTGAAACAAGATCATTTCCTCGTAAGATGCAAAGAAAATATTTAATCATTTAACTCATGTTCTAAGAAAGATGCCACTGACAATAGTTCTATCAAGTAATATAAATGGACACATCATTCATCCATATGACTTCTGAGTGTATACATAAACTGTCCAAACCAGTGTACTATAAAGATACCTGTGTACTCATGTTTATTGCAGCAATATTAACAATGACTGGGTTATGGAATCATTCCAGCGTGCCTATCCACAGGCATATGGAAACTTTTGTAATGTGTACAAGATAGCTTTTTCTAAGGTATAAGAAGAAATGTAATTAGCATTTTTTTGCAGGAAAAGTGGTGAAAGTAAAGAGCATCATTAAGAGGAATAAACTAGTCCCACCAGAACAAAAATATTAAACTTTGTCTTATTTTTGGAAGTTCGGAGATGTATAAAAAGTATGGAGGCTGAACTGGGGTCACTAGGAGAGGAATAGAGAGAGACAGAGAAAGTGGACAGAAAGATAGTAACAGAAGACATGTGTATGGTCAAAATACATTTTACATATCTGTGGTGATACCATAATCAAACCACTTCACAACCTTTTATATGTCAATTAAAGTATAACATGAACTTTTAATTAAAGAATAAAGATTTTATGCAATGCGTGCAGATTACTATGTGGGCCAGGGCACATTCTCTATTCAAAACTTTAAAGTGCTTGCCTGTAAAGCTTTCCCTCAGGGGTCAAAAAAAGATGCTAGGATAAGTGAATGGACTGAAGTCTGAGAGTTGAGGAATGCCCCGCGCTCGGCCTCGCCTGCAAGAACCACGCGGGACACAGGATTCTTCTGCAGAAAGGCTTTAATCCTCTTGGGAGCTAGAGCATAAGCCACATGGCAGAGACCCAGATAAGATGGAACCCATCCCTTATATAGGAAACAGACCCTGCTTCGGACGTGTCACTCTTGGATTGGTCAACTGCTCCCAGTCCCAGGTGATACCTTGGGAGTAGTGGAAAGTTACTAACACGTGTGAGCTTTCTAGCTCACCTGGCGGTGCAGCGCCATCTATGGTGGAGAGTGTGGTTGCGGCCTTCTACATCTCCCCCTAATTTTACTTCTTTGCAGAAAGGCAATTCCCTCGGAAGGTAAAGATAGAGGTCGCACTTCCCAAAATGAAAACATTAAAATGGGCTTACACGGAATCTGCCCCTAGGCTCATGACATCTGGAACCTATCCAGCCTGCCCTCTGCCATTTTTCTGGGAAAGGGAACATACGGCAGGAAACCCTTATGCAGAGCGACTTATCTCTCAGAGAGGGCCATTCTCTGTGCGATGTTCTTTAGCTCGACAACCTTTAGGGCTAGCTAAGCCAAGCATTCCACCCTGTGCCATGGACCACAGTCCTAGGGGTGCAGGAGCTGGTTGGTTTAAACCTTACTGCTTTAACATAGATAACCACATATCAGTAGAGGCTCCCTGTTCTAGGGCAGCCAGCACTGTGCAAAAACCATTTTGTCCCTAAGACTTTGGGATTTGAGTCAGCAGACCATCCAGAGGAGAAACATTATTCCTTAGCAGGACTGTTTTAAAACATTTCCATCCCCATCCATTCTTTGAAGTAGGGGATGAAGGACATAATCCAGGACTGGAATTCTTCGGCCAAGCTTATGTCCACTCGCGTGGAGTTGATTGTCATGATGGACCATCTCAAGGAGGACAGCAAATCATCAAAATTCTCCTGCAAGATACAAAGACAATTCTCGGGACAAGTTAGCCATTTTTATAAAGTTCTTATATGGTATATTGGTCACACATAAGGCTGGAGTTTTTTATTCATAGCCCAATTGGGCAAGCTGTCATAAGATATCCATCTGTTCTTTATTCTACCTCTAATAGATGTATCTATGGTAGCCTGCTGATCCAGGGCTGTAGCCATTGTGGTAGATAACTGATTGAGGGTCTCTATTTTTCATGGTATAGGCCGTGCTGCCCCAGTGGCGCCTAGGAAAAACCCAGGCCCTGTTTGTTGATATTAGATTTAAGATTTATTGGCTCCCGTATTTCTTGCTGGTACGGTGGCCTCGGGCTCCAGAGCCTGCCCACCATCCAAGGGCTGTGTGCGGATCCCCGTGTCCCAGGCCAGGAAGTGGCGGCTCCACCCCCAGACGCCCCCGCCTTCCCTGCAGGGCCAGCCCAGTCCTCCACGGCTGTGTTGGTGGGGGAGTGTGGCGGGAGCCGACACCCAGACCGAGGTGGGACAGGCGGCAACATCTCAAGGTCCGCGCCAGAGCCGCTGCGGCTCAAGGGGCCGATGGGAGAGGTGGCAACCAGGGCCGCTTTTCTACTAGCCAACTCTCAATACCTGTGCCACAGCAAAAGCGGCTGTAAACTCTCATAGATCCAGCCAACGACCCAATCACCCCAAAATCCAAGGGCCCTTCGCATCCACCTCCCTGCGGATCCTGAAACACCAGACAAGCCAAGCGTATACACAGCAATCTTTCAGGAGGACTTGAGTTCTTAAAATGCTAAGCTGTTCTTAAAAACTTAAGTCGCACTATGTAGATGTAATACGGTACTGTCTGTTTGCTGTGTCTAAACCTTAATTGTGCTTTTATTATGATAATTACGACCAGCCCTGCCTGAAGTCAGCATCGTTTAGCATAGCCAAATGGAACCAGAGCCATTTTAGCCTCAGAGACCAGCATAGTTTTAGGTACATTGTAAGCCCTCTGGCCCAGCTGTCTGTGGCACCGCTCTCACTCCCAGCACCGCCGTGACACCCTCCAGGCCAGGCACCAACCGAGCCGGCGCAACGTGCCCCCCACCATAGCCACAGAGCAAAGCTCTGCTCCAGCTGCCCTCCAGCCCCAGCTGCACCCACTCCGAGCCCAAACCGGTGTACGGAGCAAAGTGGAACTCAGAGAAGCAGGCTTGCTGGTCTGCAATCATTGAAAGGACCTCATTTAATCTTTTAGGGAATTTGGGCGCCGTTAGTCTCTTTGACTGCTTCCTGCTGAATTGGGCCGGTGCATTTTAGGGGTATACATTACAACATTTCAGTAGGTCTCGGTGATTCAAACCACATGGATCTCAAGCACATACTTAGGCTCCCATCCTCCGTGGAGGCGAAAACATAACCTCTCCTCCAAAACATCATATTCTTAAGCCCATGTTTTAAATTTAAACTACCTTTTTTAGCAGTTCCTAAATTTAAATATCTTTCTCCTGTCCAGTACATAAGAGACAACACAAACAACATAACATAAAGCTTTTGACCTTGTAAATCAGCCTTCTCCCCCATTTTTACTCTTTTAGAATTATTGGGGGGTCCTTTTTAACTTATCTGGGTGCGCGCGCACAACCTCCCATTGCTGCTCAGTTTCTGATATGCTCTCTGGACTTTAGAGCGTACCTCTTTGAGCATGCATGCTTGCAGTTCTGAATCCTCCTTGTGTCCAAGGGGTCTCCGGCGGAGCAAAGTTCTTCTTCTTCCCGGGTTTCGGCACCAGATGCCCCGCGCTCGGCCTCGCCTGCAAGAACCACGCGGGACACAGGATTCTTCTGCAGAAAAGCTTTAATCCTCTTGGGAGCTAGAGCATAAGCCACATGGCGGAGACCCAGATAAGATGGAACCCATCCCTTATATAGGAAACAGACCCTGCTTAGGACGTGTCACTCTTGGATTGGTCAACTGCTCCCAGTCCCAGATGATACCTTGGGAGTAATGGAAAGTTACTAACACGTGTGAGCTTTCTAGCTCACCTGGCGGTGCAGCGCCATCTATGGTGGAGAATGTGGTTGCGGCCTTCTACAGAGGAATCTACTCACAGCAGGTTCTTTCTATCTGTGTCTTTTTATTGTTTTCTCTTCCTTGTTCTCCATTCTAATTCTTCTGTCCTATCTGTCTATAATTTCTTAGCTCTAATTTTCTGTTTCAAGCCTAATTCCAACTCCAATTCTCTGCTATATTTTTATTCTTCTCATCTTCCTTTCTCATTTTCCTGTTTCTCCTAATATCTGGGATGTTTACGCTCCAACTAATGCTTCAGCTTCTATTAACTCTCTTTGATCTGACCTGGCTGTAAAAGTCCCCAAAATCCTGTAGGCATAGAGAGTAACCAGATAACCTATATAAAGAGACAAGGGAATTTTACGGTCTTTGGACTATTAGCACATTTGCCAAATATTGCAAGCTCTAGGCGCCTTTTAGGTCTGGAGTTAATACCATTTGCTCTAAGCTGTTGAAACAGAGAGGAGAACCAAGACTCTAAATGATCAGATCTGGGGCTTGATGCCCAGCAGCTGTTCTGAGAGCTTGCGGTGTGAATCTGTTGCACCAGTGGGAAGATTGTCTTTCTTCTCAGAGGCTGTGAGCAGATGGTTAATTTTTTTTTCTGCCATCTGTGAAAGTAGTGCACAGCAGCAAATTTCCTAAACCAAAATCATCAGTAAACCGAGGTGAAGGTGAGCATGACGAGTTAGGGATCTTTTAATGCAAGGCTGGTTATAGGTCACTACTTTTCTTATTAACAAGTGAAGTAAAACCAGGACATGCTTATTTTTTTCTAACTATCTGAGCAGTTATGAATCAATAGCTTTAGACATATGTTAAATCTATGTCCTTGGATATCTAGGAATTTCTTAAATGGAATGCTTTTTCTTGGACCCTAAACACTGATCAAATGATTGCCAATAAAGATGATTTCAGGATGTCAGATCTCTGCATTTATACAGGAGAGAGGAAAAAAGGCCTGTTAGTGGGAAACTGTTTTCACCCATAGCTAGAGGATGACATCAAACCCCAAATGCATAGGGGACTTTGTGCCCAGTGAATGATCAAATAGCGCTCAACAGTGGAAGCTAAATCCCAAATTTGGAACAGAAGTGAGTAAGCTACAGCAAGAAATCTACAGCAAGACACAGCCACTTTATTCATAAGGCAATAATTCTAACATGTCTTACATTTTGGTTTAAGGCTCCACACAGAGTTCTAGATTCTGATGGATTGACCTT